GGAAGAACATTGTCTTCTTGGGGCTTCAATAGCAGAAATTAGGTAGAGATTTCATTTTAGGGGAAAATGGTGCTCAAAGGTCAAGAATTGCATTTTCTGCAGTACCAAGAATATAATAAATTGATAGTAGACCTAGAATCAAGATTTTGAGCCATTTACTTGTCTGGGACTCCTTATAATTTTTGGCTGGACACAGGATGGATCCCAGATGAGGAGCTGTATTCATTTTCTGTTATTGGGTAAGAAATTACCACACACTTAGTGGCTTAAAACAGCATCCCTTTATTAGCCTACAGTTCTGTAGATCAGAACACTGGCCTGGTATGATTGGGATATCTGTTCAAGGTCTTACAGGCCTGAAATTGGCTGTATTCTCATCTGGAGGATTGACTAAGGAAGACTCTGCTTCCAACCTCATTTATGTAGTTGGTAGAATTCAGTTCTTTGTGGCTATAGAACTGAGGTCCTTGTTTCCTTGCTGAGTGTTGCCTGAGGTTTACTCTCAGCTCCTAGAGGCTACTCTCAGGTCCTTGCTACGTGTCCCTCACCACCTTCCACCTTCAAAGGTAGCAATCGAGAATTTCATGTTGAATCTCTCTCAATCTTTCAAATATGTTTTTTAAGGAGTAGACCTTCCTATCTTTTTTTAAAAAAATAAACTTTTGGGGGAAGATAAATATGGATTCATATGGAATTATAAGAAATAATGCAGAGAAATTATGTTTATCTTTTATTCAGTTTTCCTAAATGGTAAAATCTTGCAAAACCATAGTATAGTATTTTAAGCAGGATATTAGCATTGATACAGTTTTAGAGAAATTAGTCCATATATTCTAAATTATTAAATTTATGTGTGTAATTATTTTGTAGTATCCCTTTATAATCATTTAACTGGCTGCAGGATCTTTAGTGATATTCCCATTTTCAATCTTGACATTGGTGCTATGTGGTTTCTTTCCTATTTTGTCAGTTTTGTTAAAGGTTTATCAACTTTGTCAAATTTTTCAAAGAACCAGCTTTTTGTTTCAGTTACCTATTGTTTTTTATTTTAGATATCATTGATTTTGTGTATTATTTCTTTCTTTATGCTGATTTTAGTTTATTTTGCTGATCTTTTTCTAACTTTGTGAGGTGATAACTTAGATTATGGATTTAGAAACTTTCCTTTTTCTAATATAAACAATTTAATATTAAAATTTTTCTTTAAGTATTGCTTTGGCTGCATTACATATAACGTGATACTTCAGAGTTTGATTTTGATTAGTTCTGTGTAATTTTTAATTTACTTTGGGATTTTTTCTTTGTCCTAGAGATTACTTAGATGTGAGCTATTTAATCTCTATGTTTAGACATTTTCTTGTTATCTTTCTGAAATTGATTTCTAGTTTGATTTTATTATGGTCGGACAATATACTCTGTATGATTACAATTATTTTACATTTGTTGAGGTTTGTTTTATATATTATAGATATATCCTATCTTGGTGAAGTTCCATGGAGGCTTAAAAAAAATATGTATTCTGCTGCTGTTGGTTTAAGAGTTCCACATGTCAATTAGATTATGTTGTTTGTATAGTCCTTGCTGACTTTCTGTCTAGTAGTTCGATTAATTTGAAAAAGTGGTGTTTCATTCCCTGAATAAAACTTTGGATTTGTCTATTTCTTCTTTCAGCTCTATCAGTTTTTACTGCAAATATTTCTACACTTTTACTTGTTTGAAGTGAATTTGTAATTGTTTGAATTATTTTTTCACTATAGTGGCATTAAAACACTAGTCAGATAATACTAATATCTGATTCATTTTGTGCTTGGCACCATTTGATTGTCATTTCTCATTCAAATTGTGATGTATCTGGTTCTTGGATTATGGATGATATTTGGTTATATATTGTACATTTTGGCTATGTTAGGAGATTCAGGGTCTTATTTAAAGTGTGTTTCTTTTAATTTTTAAAGAATTTTAGCATGCATTCACTGTGTTTAGATTTGGTACACAGCTCTTGCCTTACTTTTGTGGACTGGGGTTCCACCACAATCTTATTTTCAGAGCTTTTATGGTGTGATTTTGGTCTGTTTGGTTTATCTTGGGCAGGTGGGGTTCCCACTGATCTCTGCTGGTGCTGCTTAAGGGGACAGAAAGAGTTTCCTCAGGACAGGGTGCTTGGGTGTTTCTAGGTGTGAGAAGGGAGTCCTTGGTGCACTTAGATGAAGAGTGCTTCCTGGGCCAGTTACTTATGGCAGGATTTCCTCTGTCTGTAAGGGGTGGAAGGCACTTACCAGGTTGAGAATTTTTTTTTTTTTTATGGTGATATCCCTGTTGCTGGTGCTGCCAAGTTGGCTAATGCCTCTGGGGAGGGTAGAGGAGTCTCAGCCTCAGCTGAAAAGGACACTACTTCCCAGGTTGGAAGCTTTTTGTGGTGGGATCGTTTTGCTGGTACCATAGGCCAGCCGGTATGTCTATGTTGGGGAGGAGAGTCTCAGGCCCTTTGGGGAAGGAGAGTACTTTACCTGGTCATTTATTGTCAGCAGGTCTTCCAACTGTTTCTTCTTACAGTTTCTTCTGGGCTCACCTAGTGTTTTCAATGGGACTCCTATTTGAACTGGTAGAAGGGAACAGCTTACCTGAGCTACTTTATGTTAAAAAGTTGAGGGTTAAGAGATACTGGGTCTGAATCACCTTTTATATTAGGGGGATTATATGATGCCCTGTCATGATGTTTTGCATCCATTCTGAGAATCCCTAGTGAATGCACCTTTCTCTTTATAACTTTAGGGTTCTTCTTTGGTTATGTCATGTTATTTCCAGAGTATACCTTTGTACTTATAGAAGAGGAGCAGGGAGAGAAGAGTGTAAGCCATCTCACCTGCACTGGAAGTCTTCTCTGTATCTTTTAAGGGCTCAGCTGATTAGGTTAGATCCACTCTGGATAATGTCTCTTTGTTAAAGATGACTGTGTCATATATTAATATCATAATCTAATTACAAGGTCCCTGTTTTCTTGCTGGCTTGCATGGAAATGACATTCCATCATACCTATACCTCTATCTCATACTCAAGGGGAGGGGATATTATAAGGACCATTGTGAGTCATCTTAAAATCCAACTACCACGGAAGACATAAATAAATGCACTGGGGAGATAATGAAACATTTTACATTCTTTGGAAGGTAGGAACATGTTAGGATAACAAGAAAGCCAAGTATTAATACTTATCATCATTCTACTCACATTAAATGAAGTAGATCTGGTATCAGAAATACTTTAAAAAATTCAAAATATTAAAAAAAAAACTTTCAGAATTTCATGTGAATTTCAGAGGTTTTATCTATTTAAGTTTTCAATTCTGGCCTTGCATATACCCTTTGTGTGCAAAATAAAATAGCTCAAAGATGTATTAAGGCTCATTCCATCCCCGTCTTATTTATATTTTATAGTTCTGTGAAATTACTGTGGCTGCCAGCAATTTACATAAAAAATAAAGGCCAGTATGGTTCTGACTTTAATTTCTTAGAGCAAGTTTATACTTAACATTGCCCATATTCATATAGATTGCACATTGCACAAAAATATGACTATTGCTTTAGGTTATAATGTAATGTTCTCTCACCTAAACCAGGATTAATAATTTTAAGCAAAATTTGCTGGATGAACCAATGTACCAAAAAAAAAAAAAAAAAAAGTCAAGTTTTTAGGCCAAATTAGAATCTGAAGAAAAAGCACTCATTATGTTTGGAAAGAAAACATGACCTAAAATGTGATTTCTAATAGTCATGATCTTAGGGTGATAATCTTAATGGAGATAATTAGAATTAAATTAGCTATTGAATTCATGTTTTACCTTTAAGGCTTTCAAATTACAACTTCAGGGCTACAGGTAGCAATTGGCTACTTTGGATCATGGACAAAACGTTGAGTCATATATAAATTCCACAACCCAACATAAGAAACAAGGATCTTCTAAAAATAACTGTATGAACAAAAGTTATCTATAAAAATAAATTGAAACATGAAGCAAAAATTAAAGAAATACCTATACGTCCTTTTCCCTTTAGTTATTTACAATCACAACAAACCCAAGTACGACAGGTTTAAGAGAAAGGAAATATTTCTAAAGGTTTGTCATCTTCTCATCACTTCTAAAGATTGTTCTCCCTATCACAAAAGATCTTAGTAGAGGAAAGGAAATTTGAGAGAGAGTTGTCAAAAAGCTGAGTCTTAGAGCAGAATGGAAGGCAGGGTGCAGGGGGCAGGGGCAAGAAAGCATGCACGGACTATTTAAAGAGAGCTGGGGATGCTGGTTGTGTTAGAGAGCCTCTTGAAATCCATTCTCTATCCTTCTTTACCCTGCCCTGTGATCTCAGGAGGTGGACCTTTATGGGATCCATCACCTAGTCTCTCTTGACTTCAGGCTGTATTCAGGTTAGGTTTGGTTAATAGGTACTATCAAAGAAGACTAAAAGGGATGAGGAAAGAAAGGTCAGGGCATTTATTTCCCTGTCCCCTACTCTCAACTTTAGGTTGGCAGTGGCTGCCATTTGCCTATCTGAGGTCACAGCTCTTGTTGGGTGATTCTCTGCTATAACTACAAGACATTCTAGGTTGCAGGAAGCACTATCTCTCTGTGCCCCTTCAAACCTGGTGGTGATAACACTGGCTTCTAACAGTTGCTAGTCTCAGGGTACTTCATCATCTCTTGATGTCCTTTCATTCTTTACACACGTTAGTAAGTGGTCCCTTAATTAAACACTATTTGATCACCCTTTTCAAGTATAGCATTTATTTTTGGCCAGGACTCTGACTGATAACATTGGTGAAGATGAATAGGAGAAATTTAAGGTAGTATGAGGGAGTAGGATAAACTGCTTGAAAGAGAGATAGGAAGAGACAGTTCTTAAGGCATTTTACAGTATGCTATAAACGTAACACCACTTCTTTATGTGACTGATTCTAATACAGTCTTAAATGGCTTCTTAATTATTTTAGTTTGGTTGTTGTTTCTTTGCGTGCACATTCAAGACAGGACAGGGCCATGAGGTACCTGGGATTAGCATGACTAGATAAGACTGTTAGGATCTATCTGGAATTGATTAAGACACTTCTCTTATGGAATCAGGAATATCCCAAAACTCAGTGTGCCTGCTAAATTTCTATCAAAATTCAGTGACCCACCATGGTGTGGAATTAGTCTTTACTGTCAGGACACTTTTGCCTTTTTTAATATTTTTTTTTATTCTAAAACAGAAACTGGGGAAAGTAATCATTTCTTCAGGAACCAGTGATTTAGTTCACATTGTTATTTAACATGTAAGCATCAAGTAACTATTGTTTGTCCATCACTATAACAGTTTATATAGCTAAGAGTTCAGATCTCAACTAGAATTTTCTGTCACCGGAACCTGCTACTTCATTTCTACAAATAGGACAAGTAGAGTTCTCAGATAGCCAGCGATCAATGCAGTGGACATGATATTCATGGGAACAAGGTAATATGCGAAGCTTGTTGCCTTCTGTGTATTCTGTAATGCAAACACTACAGACTTTTAATGTATCACTTTCATCAAAGGTTCTTACTGCTAAGTTGTCAATCTGTTGCTTGGTGAGTCCTGTAGGTTCGTAACCATCATCTTCATCTAAGACAAAAAACTGATCCATATCGAGGAAGGGCCAGGAGTCACCGTCATCAGATGTTACTGAGGACCTCTGTTGACTTTCATAACTGGCCTCTGATGATGAGCCTGAAGATGAGCTTCTTTCATTATTATCTTCAAACACCAATGAGCTAATATCTGCATTTTCATTATTGGAGCTGGAACTAGACAGAAGACTAGAACTGGAAATAGAAAGAAAGCTGGAGCTTGAACTGAAAACTGATGTAGAACAGCAATCACAGCAAGGATATGAATTGGAACCAAAACTATTGCGGCCATCATAATCATCTCTTTCATTCTGTGGCTCTGCCCTTTCAGTGGTTTGACTTGCGGATGAGCTACTACTAGGCTCTTTTTCACTGTCACTATCGCTATCGGTAAAGTTACTTGACTCACCACATCCTGTCATTAGATGCCTTAATGTGCTCTGAGTTGCAACAGATGTATCATTTAAACCAGTATTTAAAATTCTACGAACAGGAATTCTGATGGCATTGAAATAAGTGGTCACACTTGCTTGCTCAGAATGTGAAAACATATTTCTAGGTCCTCCTTGTTCACTTTCTAAAGTGACAGCGTTGTTTGCCGTCTCAGATGTTAACTGAGTTCTACTAGCTATGCTATCACTTAGTGAATATTCTTCAGTATGAACTCTTCTTACTTGGACTATGTATGAACAAATTGTCCCAGATTCACCACTGCTGGTTGTGTATGGAGAATGTTCTCCTGGAAGTGCATTCCTTGTTCCTGAAGCTACAAAAAGATGCCTATTTTGCAATTCAGGTCCAGTTATTTGCTGTCTTAATGTCTCATGTTGTTGAATTCTAGCAAATATCTCAGTCTTATTTACTAGAGGCTGCTCAAAATTCTGAGATGGTATATTATGATGAAATCTTTGTGAAATTTCACTCTGTGAAATTGGAGGTGACCTACATTCAATTCTTGCTCTGGTTCTACGACGGTCTGGGCTCCTGCTTCTCACTCTTCTTTGACCTCTGCTAGGTGGGGCTTCCACTAAATCTTTAGTAGTACATCGTTCTGCTCTAGATGGCCTTGCAAACATTGATCCAGATCGTGGATTTTCCACTTGTCTCTGGCTATCCTCCATATTTTCTCCTCTGGGAAGTCCTGCAGATGATGCGTATTCATGATCTGTATTCAGGCTCCCATTACTAAGATTAAAATTTCTCCCTACACTAAATCTGAAATCTTCAGTAGTACATCGTTCTGCTCTAGATGGCCTTGCAAATGATTCAGATTGTGGATTTTCCATTTGTCTCTGGCTATTCTTTGTATTTTCTCCCCTAGGAAGTCCTGCAGATGATGCATATTCATGATCTGTATTCAGGCTCCCATTACTAAGATTAAAATTTCTCCCTACACTAAATCTGAAATCTTCAGTAGTACATTGTTCTGCTCTGGATGGCCTTGCAAACGTTGATTCAGATTGTGGATTTTCCACTTGTCTCTGGCTATTCTTCATATTTTCTCCCCTGGGAAGTCCTGCAGATGACGCATATTCATGATCTGTATTCAGGCTCCCATTGCTAAGATTAAAATTTCTCCCTACACTAAATCTGAAATCTTCAGTAGTACATTGTTCTGCTCTAGATGGCCTTGCAAACGTTGATTCAGATTGTGGTTTTTCCACTTGTCTCTGGCTATTCTTCGTATTTTCTCCCCTGGGAAGTCCTGCAGATGACGCATATTCATGATCTGTATTCAGGCTCCCATTACTAAGATTAAAATTTCTCCCTACACTAAATCTGATACCTTCAGTAGTACATTGTTCTGCTCTAGATGGCTTTGCAAACATTGATTCAGAACATGGATTTTCCACTTGTCTCTGGCTATTCTTTGTATTTTCTCCCCTGAGAAGTCCTGCAGATGATGCATATTCATGATCTGTATTGAGGCTCCCATTATTAAGATTAAAATTTCTCCCTACACTAAATCTGAAATCTTCAGTAGCACATTGTTCTGCTCTAGATGGCCTTGCAAACATTGATTCATTTCGTGGATTTTCCACTTGTCTCTGGCTTTTCTCGGTATTCTCTCCCCTGGGAAGTCCTGCAGATGATGCGTATACATGATCTGTATTCAGGCTCCCATTGCTAAGATTAAAATTTCTCCCTGCACTAAATCTGAAATCACTACAGTTTGGATTATTCTGGCTTGCTGCTGTCCATGTTTGGTTTTCTCTTTGCTCACCTCCAGCAATATTTTCAGTTTGTCCAAAAAATGTACGCCAGTGTATTACAGACCCACGCCTCACAGAGTCTCCTTTACCTGTTACCAAAAAAGGTGGGGGAGGATTAGAAAGTAGCTACCAAAATTAGACCATCATAAATTAGTGCTCTAAAACTTTGTTTCAAAGAACACCAAAAAGATGAGGACTTAAAAGATTCAAATGTTTTAAGAAGATTTCACACTTAAAGAGTTGATATTATACTTTTGTAAACTACACAGCCTGGATTTACAAGTAAAGGCAGGACAATTTTGATTCCATCTGAAAAGAGTGAGCTAATCTTAGATAAATTTAGAAAATTATTTTTTAAAAGAGAATCTGGAGTAAGTCTGTTTTCAATATTTGATCACATACAGAACCTTGCATACACTGTGGAGGGCATGTCAAAAGAAATCTTTTCAATCCACTGTCAAAATATCAACGCAATCAAATAAGGTATACACCAGTTAAGGTACAATGCTACTAGTATGTTAGTTCAAATTACATAATTGTCTAATTCTCATCAGTCTACAACATTACTTCTTTTAGACTCATGACTAAAGTATTTTTGATAATATATAATATTATTTTAAAATATTAGAATATTGTGACCATTGCCAAAATAAAAATAAGGTTTACAGGTTTAAAAGAATTTGAATACTTCTTAATGGTACCAAGATTTAAACTGACATAAAATTGAAGGTCAGTCCCAATGAAGAGATTGGAACTAGCATTGTACACATAAGGCCATGTTCAAGAACCAAACTATTATAGTAGACTTTGTTAGATAGTAAGATTCCCTGTTTCACACTGGGAGAGAAATACCAGACCTGAGGTTAGAGCAGGATTTCTCAACTTTGGCACTATTGACATTTGGGGCTTCACAACTCTTTATTTTGGGGAGCTGTCCTATACATTGTATGATGTTTGGCACCATCCCTGGCCTCTGCTCACTATATTCCAGTAACACCATCCCCCCAAGTTATGACATCTAAAAATATCTCCAGACATTGCCAAATGTCCCCTGGGGGGCAAAGTTGAGAACCACTTGATTAAGTATGCAACATTTCTTTTTGTGGATAAGAAAGTTACATATTTTTATAGAAGAAAATAATTCGGGAAGTAGGAGGAACTTTCCACATATGTGGAAAACCAAAGGGAAAAAAAAACCTAGGCTATTTCTCACTGTTTCCCAATTAAAACCACCCAAATGTGGCTCAGAAAAAAAAAAAAAAACTTGACATTTTTACCAAAGATCAAATAAATATCAGTTCCCCTTTTGTAAGTAGTTATTTAGCACCAAATTAATTTGTGCCATTTCTGTATGATCTTTGGCTGACATTTACTATTATGAAGTTCCTTATCCATCACATCCAATTTCTCCCCAAAGCAAAATATACCTCTATTTTTTCTTGCTTTTCGCTGTGGGTCCTCTTTAATTTGTCGTAGCCTTCTCAGCAACTCTTCTTCTGTAGTTTCACCTATGATACCTAGCAAGTTATTATCCCTCATAAGTCTGTAGTCTTCGTCACTCAGGTTACTCACAAATCGATAGAAAGCTTCTTCCCGAGCCAATCGCTCCATTTGAGTTCTCCGCTGGGCCGCAGATCCATCTTTCTCAGAGTTGGAATCTGAGTTTTCCATCTTGATAAGTAAGAGGAAAATTGTCCGGCTGTTAGGACACAGTGTTGAAATACCAGAACTGGACCGTAGTTGCCGGCTTTCTGCTTCAGTTTGAAGAGCACAATGCGTACTCGGTCAGTTCCGCCTTTGCATAAGCTCCTCCTCCTCTTTCTCCAGCCACTGGTGAGTCTCTAGTTGAGATCCGGGTCTAGTACAGCACCTCCTAGGAGTGGCTGTCTGGGCGTTTATTGTGTTCCTCATTGTTACCATGCAGACGCCGTATTCAAGTTAGGTTGCATTTCATTCAAGAGCGGCAAGTACTGTTGGGTATTTATGGAGTACCAAACATCGCTCTTCACATTCTTCTACCCACGTAAGCCTATTTTCAGGCTTCTAGGAGCCTTTTTCTGGCTCTGATATGCTCCAGTTATTTGTAAGATAAATTACAGAACTCGAATGCAGCGGGTTACATTACATAGACTACCTTCTTTAAACTGCCAGCCCAAAGTCACCCTAGCTGAATGCAGCAACTCTCATTTTCAGATGCCCAGGGGCTTCTCTCTGCCTTTTCTCCTCGTGAATTCCTCGAATTATAGATGCTCACTAAGAAAGCCCCCAGTCTTTGATAATTCACCAGGGCCAGAGCTGAATCTCTTCAGTTGGGTCCTCTCACTTTTAACTCAATGGCTTCATTTTGCATTATACAATCCTTCAAGCTTTGTTAACAAACTAGCAGGTTTGTTGCTAACCCAGAGAATTTCTTAAGAAATTTTCCACAAAGGCATCCATTTTCATTTTTGTTTTCTTTTTTTATACATATTATAAATACTGAAACAAAACCAACCGGAACAACATAGGCACGTTGAAAACAGATCTATAATATTTAGTTTGCCAATAGTAAACAGTGCCGACTTTGTCGATTTTGTTCTATGTTATGTTACTGCAGCCAGTATGTCTTGGTAAAAGTGGTGTTCATTTGCGATGTTACTTAAAGTAGACCTCTCAGACTTTCTGGACTCATTAATATTACCAGCCTCACTTCACACTTGTTTTGAAGTCTTCCATTTGACTTGTCCCTATGAAGACGAGATTTAGCTACTGAATCTGAGACATGTTACATAATACGATTTATTTAATAAATTAATTCATCCAAAATAAATTGAGTCCATTACTGTTCTAGCTACTAGAGATATGTCACCTTTTGCAGCAGTCTGTACTCCCAATAATTCACATTCTATTTGAGGGAAACATTACATAAAAGTATCAAAATATAATATACTATAAAAGATTTACATATGTAGTATTGTGTAAATACAGACAACTGAGTGACATTAGTTATTTAATGGGAGTTGAGAAATGTTTCACAGAGAAATTACACTTAAATGTGAGTCTTCAAATGTAATTGTGGTTTTCTGCAAGTAGAAAGTGGCAGTTGGGCATTTGCTGGTGGAGAAAAACTACGTCACACGGGAACCAACTTGGAAGACCTTGGCTTGTCTGGAAAACCATAGCCACAACTGGGGTTGAGATGGAAATGTTGTGAAATTAATCCAGGAAGAAATAGGTCACACGGACTATAAATTGAGTTTTGATTTTTCCTTCCTGAAAGAAATAAAACACAAATAAGATATCTTGTTATTTTTGGAGAACAAGCAGTGGATTTTATTTTTGCCTGCATAGCATCCCTTTAACATACTTAAAATAGCATCCTGAATTTCCAGGAGGGGAAACACGTGCCCTAATGCCTGTCCAGTTGGCTTAGATGCAGCTGAATTCATTTGCCATGGCTAATGAAATGGACCCATGACCCAGCCATGTCCAATCAGCTATCTCACATTTCTGGTAATGGTAAGTGCCTCAAGTATGAGCATATGACCAAAAGCAGTCCAATGAAGGGTTAAATATGAGATGTTAGCTGTAACTACTGAAAATTATCAATTATTTTCCATTGTGGTTGCTAACCTGGTAGTATATAAACTTAAAGATGCTTGTGGCTGTCTTCCTTACGTAATATTGAGGAAAACCAACTTAAAGAAACATAGGAAAACAAATTTTGAGATATACCTGAAGCTAGATGTGTCTTAGGTTTTTTTTAGATTTGTAAGCCAAAGTATTCCAGATTTTTTTAAAAACAAGCTTGTGAAGGATTTCTGTCACTTACAAGAAAGGGCCCTAATAGTTGCAACAGGAGAGTAATATAATGAGTGATCTAATCAGAAGTTAAAAAGTAATAAATTTGTCATGTAAAACTTATTATTGTCCATTCTATAAAGTTAACATGATTATATAACTTAGATTTGAATTTGGCTTAGTTTTTATGGAAAAATAAGAAAACAACAGATTTTTCCTTTTAATCATTTGTCTAATAAGTTATTTATTAGGCACTGAAATTGAGTATTATTAAGTTGAAAGAAATGAACCACCTTTTTCTTTGATAATGAACTAAATATAGTCATGGCATATAATGTAATTCTGTTAAATACATTCCCACTCTATATGAGATCCTTTCAAAATTTCCCTGCTTTTTGCTCAGTATGGTGGCTCAGGCCTATATTCCCAACACTTTGAGAGGCTGAGGTGGGAGATTGCTTGAGGCCAGGAGTTCCAGACCAGCCTGGGTACTGTGGTAAGACCTTCATCTGTACAAACAAAATTTAAAAAATTAGGTGGATGTGATGATATGTTCCTGTAGCTCAGCTACCCAGGAGGCAAAGGTGGGAGGATCACTTGAGCCTAGGAGTTTGAGGCTTCAGTGAGCTATGAATCACTCCATTCTATACTGCAGCCTGAGTGATAGAGACCCTGTCTCAAAAAAAAAAAAATCCATTTTCATATTTGTTTCATACAACACACAACGTATTTTAAAACCTTGCTCCAGTAATACTTACTTAATTCTCAAATGAAGAGAAAAAATTCTGAAGTAAAGTACCACAGAACTTTTTTTTTTTTTTTGATACAGAGTCTCACTCTGTTGCCCTGGCTAGAGTGCCGTGGCAACAACCTAGCTCATGGCAACAACCTAGCTCATGGCAACCTCAAACGGCTGGGCTCAAGTGATCCTTCTGCCTCAGCCTCCCAAGTAGCTGGGAATACAGGCATGCACCACCACGCCCGGCTAATTTTTTCTATATATTTTTAGTTTTCCAGCTAATTTCTTTCTATTTTTAGTAAAGACGGGGTCTTGCTCTTGCTCAGGCTGATCTCGAACTCCTAACCTCGAGCGATCATCCTGCCTTGGCCTCCCAGAGTGTTAGGATTATAGGCATGAGCCACCATGCCCAGCCAGAACATTTGGTTTATATTAAGAAATAAAATGGTCCTGGAGGGAAATAAAATGTCTTTTACTGATGCCTTAATAAAGAGTGAGATAATGTTATATGACCAATTAGCTCCCTCATGGTATTTTTAAGATGCCTAAGTTCAGCAAAATCTTAATTAGTATGAGAAGGTATGGGTACCTGTGTGTGTGTGTGTGTATTTAAAAAGTTTAAACAGATGTTTGGTTAGGTTAATAATCATTAACTTCAGCGAAGTTTCTGGCTACTAGTAATAATAGATTTATTTCAGTTGTTTGTTTGTTGTTCAATGTATTTTTTATTATTGATTGTTGGTCTGTGAGCTCCATGATGGCAGGGGGTTTTGCATGTTTTATTTACTGCTAAATCCCTAGGCTTTGACCGGCTTGGGTTCCTACTATTATGCCTGTAGCCACTCCACCTACACAGTAAAGTGAACATACGCACACTGCGAAACTGCTTACCCTCATCATAAATTATTGGAAAACACTTCAACTGATTCTTTTAAAAAGATTTTTCCATTTTTTAATTTAATTTTATTTTTTAAGTCTAGATATCCAGTTTTATTCATAGAAGATTTGGTGACTGATTTTTTAAACTTCTATTTTGAAATAATTTTATACTTACAAGAAGCTGAAAAACAGTACAGAGAGTTCTCTTAGCCAACTTTTCCTAATGATAACAACTTACATAAGCATAATATGTTAATCAAAACCAGGAAATTGATATTGATACAATACTATTTTAAACATTACATACGTCATTTAGATTTCACCAGTTTTTAAACACATTCCTTTGTTTTGAGGTTGTTTTCTTTTTAAATTCAGGATATTATGGGGGTACAAACATTTTGATGATGTGAAATGCATTTGCCTTGCTCAAGCCAGGGCCACAAGTGTGTCCTTCCCCCATACGGTGGGCCCCATCTCCATTAACTGTGGGTTTACCCACCTCCCCACACTACTCCCCACCCCCCTAGCCAACTGGCACCCAGTGAGTATTACTACCATGTGAGCACCTTAGTGTTGATCAGTTAGTACCAGTTTGATGGCGAGTATATGTGGTGCATGTTTTTCCATCCTTGTGACATCTCACTTCAAAGAATGGGCTCAATCTCTATCCAGGATAATATAAGAGATGCTAGATCACCTTGTGTATTTTTGTTTTGTTTTGTTTTGTTTGTAGTTGACTAGTACTTCATGGTATACATATACCACATTTTATTAATCCACTCATATATTCATGGGCATTTAAGTTGTTTCCACATCTTTGCAATTATAAATTGTGCTGCTATAAACATTTGAGTGCAGATGTCTTTATTATAGAATATCTTTTATTCCTTTAGATAAATGCCTAGTAGTGGGATTCCTGGATCAAATGGTATTTCTATTTTTAGCTCTTTGAGGTATCCCCAAATTACTTTCCACAGGAGTTGTACTAATTTGCAGTCCCACCAGCAGTGTCAGTGTTCCAATCTCTCCACATCCACGCCAGCATTTGCTGTTTGGGGACTTTTTGATAAGGGCCATTCTCACTGGAGTTAGGTGATATCTCAACTTACCCAACAATATGAACAGAAATCCACCCCAAATATCAATGCTCTCAACAAATGTGAATGGCTTGAATTGTCCTTTGAAGAGACATAGACTGGCTGAGTGGATAAAACATTATAAGCCAAGTATCTGCTATCTCCAGGAAATGCATTGAACCCACAAAGATGCTTTCAGACTCAAGGTCAAGGGTTGCAAACAAATTTTCAGGCAAATGGAAACCAAAAGAGAGTGGGGGTAGTAATTCTGATTTCAGACACCATAAATTTTAAAATAGCAAAAATAAAGACAAAGATAGTCACTACATAATGGTGAAAGGAAAAATCCAACAAGAAGACTTAACGATTCTAAATATCTCTGCAACCAACACAGGAGCACCCAGATATATAAAGCAAACCCTGTATGAACTAAATAGCATGATAAACAGTAATGCCATAGTAGCAGGGGATTTCAACACTCCACTGTCTGAAATGGATAGATCCTCCAAACAAACAAAAAATAAGCAAAGAAATAATGGACTTAAACAGAACTCTAGAACAAAGGGTTTTTTTTTTTTATTGCTGCTTTTGAATCATGTTTCAGTTAAGTTTTGAAATTTCCCCTGCAATGAGAATGTACCTCATCTTAATCCTTGAAGCCCTATAACATGACAGTTATTGTCTATTTAAAAGTCTTGCTTTTAATATTTGTTCCCAAGCGTCACAAATAATGTCCCCAAACATTATTTCAGTTCAATGTATTGAAAGGCAGTACACTGAGATAATTCAATATATAGGAAAAAAGGCTTGGGTTGAGAATTAAGAAACCCAAGTTGAAGTCTCCCAGTAACTGTCTAATTATTTAATGTCTCTAGACTTCAGTTTCTTAAACTATGAGAATTGGAATCCTGAATGTATTTATCAAAGTTCAATTTAGTCAGTGACTTAGACAAAGGGAACTGAGCAGTGGGAATTAAAATAATACCTGAACCAGGGTGCTGAATTGGCAATCTTAAAAGAGGAAAAATTGAGGCTAGAATCAGTGCCAACAAAGGCTGAGATATAAGGGAAGAAAAGGAATCAGAGCAGGCCCAAACTCCAAAGTCAGGCTAGGACCAACTGTCTCCCAGAACATTCATTCAAAATCAGTAAGTTGAAATGGAGTATTGAGCCAAAAAAGGCAGTAAGAAGACTCAGAATTGAGCTAGGTGAAGGTCATCAGGACCTTGGGGAATAAAGCCATGAGGCAGTAAAAGATGTGTGAGACTTCTATTGTAGCTTGCTTAATTAAATATTTACACCTTGGATCTCAGAAGTTCGTTACTCTGTTGTCTTGACAATTTATTGTTTATAAGACAACATTTGAGATGGATGACCTCAATGTCTTTTTGTTTCAGTTTTATGAACGAGAATCTAATCGCACTAAATTTTTAATTTTTAAAACACAAATAAAAAAGTTTTAATTAAGTTTCTTTTAATTAAACTTCAGAAAGTGGTTATAGTTCAGAATATGCATAAGCAAAAAAAGAAGCAAAAACAACACAGCATGTTATCAGTACTCAGAGTGACAAATCATTTGCTTTGTTAACATTTTTTACATTTAAGTTCGTAAATAAAAATGATCAGCTTTACCATTTTAGAGGTGAGAAAGAAAAATATAGGTATATTTATCATCTGCTAGATGTGCTCAGCGTATGCTCTGCTATATATATACAAGCCCTGGGAAGTGCAGATGTCAGACTTCTTAATAAACTGGACAGCTATTTGTTTCTGCATAGCACAGGAGCAATAAGGAGAAAACATGAAATAACCAAGCACTCTGCACTGCAAAATATCACCTTAACAGCTTACCAGCATTACTCAACTGCTATACAACTGTGCCTAGTGCACAAAAATACCTAAGAGATTAGAATTGTGTTTAATAAACAATTCTTTTAAAACAATAAATTCTTTTTACCGGAAATGTCTTCACACACGCAAGTTCATATTATTATTTAGACCTGAACATAAATGGCGTGTGTTAATACATTTACATTAACTTTTGTAGGTTTTTAATTTTAAAGAATGAAGGTAAAATGAGTTAATCACTAGACCATTTTGGGCAACTGAACAGGAAGCAGCTGCACACATTTTCTTAAATAAGGAGGCCACAAACTAGGTTAACAATCTCGTTACTTTCAACCTAAAAATGTCAGCACGCTAAAGAAAATGAAATTTTACTTCAGATATCCAAACCAATAATAAGAATTTAAGTCTTTCACCTCACCAAATTACAAGATATCCAAATATTATTATTCAAATTAACAGCAACAAAATGTCATATAAACTGAAGTTTACCAATGGAGGCAAGGCTTAAAACAAGTAAAAAGTTACACAACATTTTACAAAAAACATCCTATTCTTTTGCTAGTGGCTTGTTCCAAGGACAACCACCACCCCTGCCCCCAGTTCTCAGATTGCTTGCTGATGAATCATTAATTTAATAATATACCCTTCCTCCCTTTTTAGAACACTTGGAAGCACTCTTAGATCGTGATCTGGACTTGCATCCCCTCTTGTATCTTGATGGGAGGCTTCTGGACCTAGAGCTGGAACTGGTTGGCGAGCGAGATGTGGACACCGAGGAGGACTTGGATGTGGATCTTCCGGTCGATCTGGATCTGGAGGTTGATGGAGATCTACCTCTACCATAAGAGCGAGAATGAGACTTCCACTTCAAGCGTCTGAAGTGAGATCTGCTCCGGGAGCGGCATCGGGATCGGAACCGGGATCGTGACCGGGATCGGAACCTGGATCGAGATCGGAACCGGGATCGGTATCGAGATCGGCTCCTGCTACTGAAACGGCTGGATTGACCACGCCTTGGGCTGCGGCTCTGGCGATCATAGTTGTCTCCCTTGTACCTGCGGGGTGGCGTTTCCCAGCGGCGGCCATAGTGGGGTTCCCGGGGACGACTGTAGCGTGCCATCTGTACTCGCAGCTCACGGCCATCCACCATGATCCCGTCTAGGGCGTTCATGGCCTCCTCAGCATGGTGTTTGTAGTGGAAGCGGACGAAAGCGAAGCCGCGGGACTCTTTAGTGAAGTAGTCCCGCGGGATGTACACATCACCCACACGCCCATACTTCTCAAACAGACGCCGCAGGGTGTTGGGCGAGGTGCGGCAGGTCAGGTTGTCCACCTTGACGGAGGTCATGCCTTCCACATTGGGAGGAGGGCGACCGTAATTCATGGCCTTTAACAGCTTGGCCTGGAGCCTCCACAAATTGAGCACCCAGAAGGTAACAGCCTGGGAGAGTTGTGAGTGTATCCCGCGTGGCTTCAACGGTTTCCAGAGATTTGGCTTGAGGCCCCGCCTCTTTTTTAGTTGTCTTCCGGCTTGTGTATGCTTAGAAATGCTAGAATGTTCCATGCGGCCCCGCCCATCTCCAGAGCTAACACCCGCTTGAGAAATAACTCCCTACCAATTTTTTTTGAGATGAGTCTGATCATAACACAATCATTTTGTGGCTTTTTCACTATAAATCCGAACATCCAGTTTGAAGTATGGATAAAACTACGTACATATAGATAGATATAGATATAATTGTGTGATTTGGAATCCCTTTGCAATTCTAATTCATGGGTCAGAAACATTTGTCTTATCTAGAGACAAAACCAATAAAACAAATAAATCATAAGCAGGCAAGAATAATTCAATAATACTGTACTAACAGGAAAGAGAAAATGAGAGCCTCCTCAATCTCTAGAGGTGTGAACTGTAATCAGAAACTCAGTATGGATCTCCTCTGCTATAGGCTGCTTATAAAAGTAAACGAGTCAAAAGTGTCATTATGTGTGATTCAAAATTATATAATTGAGTATAACCCAGATTATTAACATATACTGCTTCCTTATTTACTGACCCAATATATTATCCCACGGAGTAAGTCCATTTAATGTAACTTTAAAGCTTTTACCACCATAACAATAAGGAAAATGGTAACTATTTGAGGTGATGGATATGTTAATTAGCTTGATTGTGATGTTTATTTCACAATGCCTAATATGTCAAAACATCAAGTTGTACATCTAAACATATACATTATTTACTTTTCAATTATATCTCAATAAAGCTGGAAAAATATGAAGACAATTTTAGAGTTAATTATATTTCATCACATTGTTGACAAGAAATCATTTCTCCTAAATCGTAATCATTGCATTCCAATAAATGAATTTGACAATGTATGGGAGAAGTAGAAAATAATAAAAATATTAAATTAAATATTTCTCACTTTCAATGAACATTGTGTACTCTTTGCAAACCACAAAATATTTTGCATATGATGAATGCATATACTGTATGTACGTTTGATTATCTTTTGTTGCATAACCATCTACATCAAAACCTAGTGGCTGAAACCAACAATTTATCTTTCTTTTATGTCAAAATTAGAAAGCTCAGGAATTCAAAGAGGGGACAGTAGGTCTTGTTTCTGTGCCATTATATCTGATGAATTAGCTGAAGTGGCTCTATTGGCTCAGTCTGAATCAACCAGTTGTTGACTGGTTCCCACCTCCCCCTTTGCTCTGTCTTTCCACAGCCTCTCCATGTAGATAGCTTGGCAGCTGTGGGGTAGTCAGATTTCTTCGATAGCAGTGAAGGTTTTCTAGAGACCATGGTAGAAGCATTCATCTTCTTAAAGTCTAGGCCCAGGCCAGTATATAAGAATCAATTATGCAGTATTGGTCAAAGCAACCATAGACCAGACCAGGGTCAAAGGGAGGGAAGAAAGAATCTCTTAATGAGAAGAGTGCAAAAGATTTTCAGACATATTTAATCTACCATAGTTAGCTCTATGAACATATATTTACATTCTTATCAAGTTAAAAAATATATTTGCCATCTTCCAAGACCACCAAAGTCTTATCCCCTTATGGCAATGAGATAAACATTCAGGATCTTGTAATCTTATTTAGGTCCAGGTACAGAAGGGACTTCTCAGATGCAATTCCTTGAATTTTATTCCTCTCAATTGGGAGAAAAAGTTATCTACTCTCCTCACTTCTCACAAACAATATTGAGATAGGATAGCCTTAATTTACAATTCTATTCAAAAGGAGGGATAATCCACATCGATTCTAAAATTTAATGGAGCATATGTTTCCAGATCCTTGGTTAGGGCGTGGTGCCATTCCTGGGACATCAGTTGGTCTTCTGGGATCTTAATTCAGCCTTCTGAGCCAGCCTGTCTTTCTCAACATAAATGGCCCATGTTTGTGGCTGAGTAGCTTTCTTAGTGTGCTTCCTGTAGGCAGAAGGTTGAGGTACCAAGGAGTCCTCTCATTCTGAACTGTTTCTGTTCCTTTCTGGTCCAAGCTCATGTTGCTTAAAGCTTATGTTGCTTCTAATAGTACAAATTTATTCACATTATCTCTCCCCCACACCCCACCACGCGCTCTCTCTCTCTCATTGCTTCTAATTCTTATTGGGTGGCTACTCCATTAGACAAAAGCCACAAGACAGGTCCTTATTTACTTTAGACCACTTGTGAGGCTGATGCCAGACCATGTTTTTAAAATTCTTAGAAGTCCTCTTGCCTAGCAAAGAGGGTTTGTAAGGAATGCTCTAAAATACCTCTGAGGTATTGAAAAAGTATCTTACAGCTATGTCCTTTACTTCTTGTTTATCCTGAGACAACATTTTACTGTTCAGATTTTGTTCTTTGCTCTGAGGGCCATTGGTTAACTTTGAACTTCATCTTTGGTGAAAGGACTATCTTCGGAACTCAATATTTTTATTACATTCTGTTCTAAAACAGAACAATCCGTTCTCTAGTTCCTCTCTCTCTCTCTCTCTCTCTCCATATATATAATCACAAGCATTTAGAATAAGCCTATTGAATTTTTTCACTCTTTGTAGAGATCTCAGCCAAATCCTTGAGTTTATTAGGTTCATTTGCTATTTTCCAAAATACTCCAAGTAATAGTTTTGCTAATGGTTTTGCAGTACGCAAATTAGTTGTCTATTTCTCCATGTACTCTTTTACTTTTTGTTGATTCTTTTGAATTTTAACTGAATTATTTCATGCCCTACTAAGAGATAAATAACAAATATTTTATTTGTTCAAGCTACTTTATCACTTTCTCAATAAAAAGGATTTTAGCTCTCAATTACATGAGTTTCCTTAAGAGAAGCATTCCAAATTAAGATTCATTTATAGATATTTTTCTCAACTAATAAAAGTAACAATATACATGTCACAATGTTTTATAAAAATTATATCGACTTTTATCCATTTAAAGGACTCTATGCCTTTGTATAAATTAGTTTTATGAAAAGAAGTCATATACCCTTCATCAAAATCAGGTTTAATTTATGTCAGAGAGGACAGACTACTGAATCAGCTTTTGGGGACTTAAATTCCTGTCCTGGCTCTACCACAAATAAATGACACTACTTGATACAAGTCAAAACCTGGGCTCAAGTTTTAATCTCTCTTAAATGAGGGAGTTGCACCAGTTGATCTTTGTATTCTATTCCAGCTGTAAAACATTACTTACCTACAATTATATAAATGTTTGTTTTTTTAAAGCTTTAACAAAAAAGCAAACAAATTTATTAAAATTAAAATTAAAATAGTAAAAGTTCTTTAAAATGTGAATTTCCCAGTATGTGTTGGATTCAATTCTATGGCAACAGTATACTCACTTAAAATGATATTACTATATGATTTGGATCAAGTAAAGAATGATTTTTATAAACTTTAGAAGTTTGTTATCTAAGGGACATATCTCTGATTAGAAATCAGGAAACATGTGTTCATGTTTTACTTTCTCACTTCACTGTCTATGACTTGGGGGGTTAACCCTAAACAAACATTAACCCCTGTTGTAATAAATGGGGTCCTGTGTTTTATGAGGTAATTTGAGAATTTGCTAAGTATAGAATCAGCTTACTTGTTCCTTGCAACTGATGATGTGAAGTCTAATGGAAACATCTTAAGAATTATATTCTCCTTACTCAATATTCATATTTCTTTATCTTCAACAAATATTTATAGATTTACTATTATGTGGACAGAACTGTTCTAGAGACCATATATTTCTCAGTTTATCTACTACATTAAGAAATTAAAATGAATTGATTAAATACACTTTTTGGATGCTTTAGAACCTCTTTACTTGAAATGAACCACTGGAAACCTGAGCCACCAGAAGAATGCAGTACTGTACATCGGAGATGGGAAAATTAGAGACCAGTAATATGAAGATAGGGAAGTAAAATAATATTGTAACATTTAAACTATAAAATTAAAATACTGGGTCTGAGAAGAAATATATGATTTTGCAAATTTAAGATATAGATGTGACCCCAAAGTCTTGTCCCTCAAATGATTAAATGGATTAATATGTAAAAAAGCTATTGTTTATCAGTCATTGAGCATCTACTACAAGCCACACACTGTGTCAAGCAATTGAATATAATTATAAACAAAACAGACATTGTTCTTTTCCTCATTGAACTGATGGCAAAGAGGAAACAAAAGAAGGATCTTTAGCTTCCAAGGAGTATTTCAATATAAAATATCATTATTAATCATGGAAGCATAAAAGAGGAGAGGCTAGAGAAAAACATTGAATAAATGCCTTCATCTCTATCCTGTGATAAAGGGATGTGAGTGTGGGGGTACATATATCTGTATTTTGGAGATAAATGTACTAACCATTAAGATGTTTCAAGTAACTTCCTTTGTTCTGACTCCATGTCACCCAATAACCTTACAATTGTACTTTGGTTTCCCAAGTAGATATGTCTCCTGGGAGAAAATACGACGAGTAATATATACAAGTAACTGAAGTCCATTTGAAAGTAATATTTATAAATGTAATTGAATAATTTATTTTTTAGTTTCATTCTCAAATTTCTTATGACTTTAAGGTTGTGATCCAGAACTTCAAAAACAATAACCTCTGAGTTTAGAAACTAATAAGTAATGTATAACCTAAAAACCTACAATATAATCCTGTGTCTTGGTGATCCCCTCAAGTTCTTTTCACTTCCTTGTTCTTTGTGCAAGGGTAGTCAGCCTTCCCCAGTCAAAGCTCCCTTATTGTCTTGCTGCCACTCTCAAACACTCACTCAGCATACACTGAATAGAAGACATTAATTATCTTGGAGCCCAGCTGTGATTTGTTTGAGTCCAGGCACTTCATTCCTTAAAAAACTCTGTGTGGCTCTCAATGAGTAGGCTCCTGGCGAATTCTTGGAGGAAATTATCCAAGAGGAATTCCTTGGAAAACGTTCAAGACACAAGTCCAGTTACTTTATGGACAAAAGAAAGTTGGACTTTTATCCTCAGCTGCCGTATCCAGTGTTTTCAATAATATGTTAGAGAATCACTGGTCTTGAAATATGATCTTGGAAAAATAGAATTTGTGTTGAGATAAGTTTGGGAAGCATTACATACACATATTCTTCCTAGCAGCTTGCAGAGAATGTTAGCATATTTAAAACGCAATGGCAGAAAACAGAAATATTTGTTGTTAACATTTGTGGCACTAGCATTTCATAAAAATATTTCATCAAAGAACACATTTCCCCCTTTCCCACCACGATACACACACAAGGCACACAGACAGTCATATAAATTGCACTGTCTGGGGGACGGGCACACCTGTAGCTCTGACTTGGGTGGTTCAAAGGCAATATATGTAACCAAAATGTTTGTATCCTCATAATATTCTGAAATTAAAAATATCTCAATATATTGAAATACTCATTCCTCTAAATGTAATTGGGAAAAAATCTAACTAGATTATTTTTTAATCACATACTAAACTATTTTTTGTTTGGTGCTTGTTCCTTGCTTATCAGGCAGGGTTCTGGCAGGAAACAGAATGCATC